AGGGATGGAGATAGGGGTGGGGATAGGGGTGGGGATAGGGATGGGGAAAGGTTGGGGATGGAGATAGGGATGGAGATAGGGGTGGAGATGGGTGTGGAGATAGGGATGGGGATGGGGATAGGGATGGAGATAGGGGTGGGGATAGGGATGGGGATGGAGATAGGGGTGGGGATAGGGATGGGGATGGTGATAGGGGTGGGGATAGGGATTTGGATGGGGATGGTGATAGGGGTGGGGATAGGGATGGGGAAAGGGATGGGGATGGAGATAGGGATGGAGATAGGGGTGGGGATAGGGATGGGGATGGTGATAGGGGTGGGGGTAGGGATTTGAACCCCCCCCCGGGCTGCAGTAACTCTGTCTGTGTGCAGGTATTACAATGACAGCAAACACAGGAAGCTGGAGGACTTCCGGGGCAGAGACCACCGGCTGGACTACCCCCACCAGGACCACCACCCGTCCCACCGCTACCACTCGGACTGGCAGACGGACCCGCGGGCGTCGGCCAGCGGCGCCCGCTCGCCCCGCGACCAGCGCTCGCCCCTGGGCCACCGCTCGCCGTTCGACTACTCCTCAGACCACAGGAGCACGCCGGAGCAGGTCTGGAGCAGCCGCAAGACATAGCAGGAGCTGTCCACCAGCTCCACAGACTCAGCACCACGTCAAAGCCTTAGCCCCCCCCACCCGGCCAGGCCCCCCCCCCCCCAGGCCCCCCCCGGGCCCCGTGTGGCAGCCAGTTCAGCATGGCTGCTCCCCCTGCTCGGCGGCCCCACGCCGGCCAGGCAGCAGACTGACAGATCCCAACTTATTTTTCTATTTAAAACTTTAACCTGGCATGGTGGAGGGGGCTCTTCAGCATGCAGCAGACGTTTTGTTACTTTTTTAAACTTGGGTTTTCGGGACGCTTGAAAAGGACTCCACAGCCCCTGTATGCTGCCTCATCTTCCTACCAACCAACGACACTGGATCCTGTGTGTGGCTGTCCTCAGTGTTTGTCTGCGTCTGCTTCTGGTGGTTTTCTACCTTATTTAAGTGTTAACTCAGTAAGAAGCCGGCTTTCACACGGTGGTGTAACGGTGTCTGGACTCAGGCTCAACACCTGAAGTACCTCATTTCAAGTGTTCGTCATTTCCTCAGCAGCTTTTATTTTCCCCCGCCAGCCATGATTTGTGAATTATTTAATAACATATCTTAGATGTAAAAACAGAAGCTGTTTTCCATGAAATAATGCTGTTGTAAATGTCTTTTTGTAAAATAGAGAATCAGTGGACTTTTTTCTCCTCAGGCGTTTTTGGATTTATTATGACTCTACTTTCCCTGTCGACTCAGGCTTTGATTTTATTTTTGTCATTATGAGTGAGGTTTCTTATCTAGCTGTTTCATAATAATGCTCTCAGAATGTAATTTTTGGTAAAGGGAAAGTTCTGTGCGGATCCTGGTTTTCTTTGGTAGTGTTTAGTTTGGTCTGAGTGCTGAACCAGGGGCGGGTGTTCCTCAGCTGAAGCAGCTGAAGGAATGAAACTCAGACTTCTTACTCTTTCTTTACTCTTCCTTTTGTTTTCCATGTAGGCAATAATAATGTCAATGTTTCTATGCAGCCAAGTATATTTGTTGTGAACCACGCAACTGAATGAAGTCACTGTTGAGGTTCAGACGTGTAAATATTTCCTCTATATTTCCAGACAAATTTACACTGAAAGTGCATGAATTTTTATGAACTGTTTTATATAGTTGTTTATGAAACCATTAAAATCAGTCACTGTACTCACTTGTACAAACTCTTCAACAACCTGTCGCTGTCTCTGTTCTGTGCTGACCCCCCCGTGACCCCCCTGTGGACCACGTGGAGCCCCAGAGGACAGCCCCCCCCCCTCCCCGCTCAGCCGTCGGAGCCGATTGGCCGGGAGTCACATGGTCATCAGCGCCAAATACAGGAAGCCACCACGGGCTGAGGCGGTAGGTGGTGGTGGTGGTGGGGGGGGGGCAGAGAAGGGCACCTGCTGCTGTCAGTCAGAACTGAGTTAGCACCCCCACCCCACAGCAGGCTGGATTTGAGAGGGGGTTTCGGTTGAGTTGGGCTTTGGCTCGGTTTCTGTGGTCCTGTGAAGACTCACATGAGCTCAGAAACAGGCCGTCTGAGTCCCCCCCCCACAGAACAGAAACCACAGAGGCTTCAGTGCGTTTCTTTATTTGGCTGATGAAGCGTACAGTTATCTGAAGGCGGCACCCTCTGAGGGGTCGTGGATGTGGGGGGGGCTCCTAACATGTCCTCTGCTCGGTCGGCTCCGGGCCCGGGGCCTCGCTCCTAGGAGCTCTTCTTCTCCTCAAACATCAGGTTGGCTGTGGCTTTCTTGGCTGTGAAAAAATTTAAAAACATGTTAAAGGTCTAGAGTTCACAGTAAGGGCTGCGTCCACTTTAGAGGTAGATTTAGGCAAAGGAATATCAGAAATAAGAAACTAAGGAATCCAGTCTTATAGAATATTCTATTAGTAAACCTGGATTTTTTTCCTATTCAGTCAAAGGTTTGAGGGCCATTACGGTAAGCATCAACTAACCAATGAGTAAAAAGTCAATGTGGATGTGTGAATAAGAGCCAGTCAGATCAGAAAAGGGAGAGTCTGTTCCAATGGATGGACTCATCAGCTGAGACAGAAACAGGAACACTACAACCTGACCAGCCAGTCACAAAAGTCCCGTCCCAGTTCATGATAACTGAGTTCTGTTACAACGGAAAAGAATTAGGGACTCTACTTAAAAGTGAACTATTCATTTAAGGAGCTCATTTTTAGTTATCATTAGATGTGGGGCACGGGCTTTAATGGCCCCCCACATCTGTTTGTGTGTACTGACCCTCATCTTTAAACTTATCAGCGGCCTCTGATGCTTTGTCCTTCAGGTTCTTCACAGCGTCGTCGATCTTGGCTTCATTCTTGAGGAAGAGAGGTCGGATGATGCGGTGGTAGATCTGGATGGATCCGTTAGAGGGAGTTGGAGCCATGCACCACACCAGGAAGGCACACTGGAGACACACAGGGAGAGAATCACTGGTCTACTCCCCCTTAGAAATCCGGCTGTCCAGGGATCTGCTCTCTACACCAGCAGTCCAGACACATCCATGCTCAGTCTCTCTGGAGCTGGTTCCCAGATCTGGGACCTGGAGTGAGGGTTAGACCTTAGAGGAGCAGGACATGAGAAGCGAGGAGGCCCTCATCAGTCTTCCCCTCTCAGCCCACTTTACTAGATAAGAGAACCTGAAGTACTGGAGGCAGAGATCAAGCCTGGCTCAAAGGGGCACTTCCCCCTCTTCCATCTGGAGCACGGCCTCCTCCTAACCCTAACCCTAACCCACCAGAGCTGGAAGCCTTCAGCTCCTAAATCCTGGAGGCCCCGTCCTGACCGGCTCTCGGCAGAGCCCAACACTAGAGGACCTCCTGGTCCTCTGAGGCCGGTAGGAGGTCACCTCCTGGCTCCTTTAGCTGCTTGTGGGTTTGGGCCAGAGGCGGCAGCTCTGTGACTCCTTAGACCAGGCCTGAGAGGCGTCCGGCCTCATAGAGGGGGCCGGACGGCCTCATAGAGGGGGCCGGGCGGCCTCATAGCTGCTGACTCTAAATCCCCCCGTGGACCCTCAGCCGGTTCGGTGAACCAAAGCTGCTGCCATTCAACCTTCTCCCCCATTCCAGAAAACCGGGGGTCACATTTATTCGGATCTTAAATTTGAGCAAACAGAGATTTTAAACAAGGTGACACAGCACTTTTCTTTAATGAGCTGAGGAGGGCCGGATTCAGCCAGCAGAGGAAGGACCGGCTGACCCTGAATCAGATCTGACCGGCAGAGGGCAGGATAATGAGAGAGCAGTAAGGACAGCACACATCTCACTGTCTCTCATTGGCTGTATTCAGATTTTCCAGCTGTTACCTTTCCGATATAGTAGAAGGGAAACCAGGAGAGGAAAATGTCAGCGAAAAACTCGGCCACGCTGAAGACGCCGTACACCACCCAGTAGGTCAGCCACTTGGTGTCGTCCTCTTTGGTGGCACTCTCAATGGCCTTGATTCTGAGGAGAAACGGAACCAGTGTTAGGAGTTTAAACCTCAGGTCAGTCTGTTCTTTTCAGAATATTTAAATGTGTTTTGTAGGAGCTCCATTTCCTTCTTCCTCTGGCTCTGCTCAACAAACCCTCAGAATGGGACTGAGGGAGCAGCCGAGTGCTGCACAGATGCAGAGTAACGTGTGAAGTTTTTCTGTTTCAGCCACACTGGACCTCCCAGGCCCCTCATGAGGCTCAGCCTGGGGGGGTCAGGCCTAACAGGCAGGAAGTGCTTCATGAGGAAGCTCGGCGGAGATGACGTCATCACTTACGATATGTAGGCCGGATACAGGAAGCCGATGAGGTTACACAGCAGGGAGGCTCCGTAGCCAATCACCAGGTAGATCGCGATCACGCCCACCAGGCCTGGAACACATCGCAGCAGCCGGTAAAGAGCCGGTAAGTAGCTGGTCAACAGCCGGTAAGCAGCCGGTAAAGAGCCGATAAGCAGCTGGTCAACAGCCAGTAAAGAGCCGGTAAGCAGCCCGTCAGCAGCCGGTAAAGAGCCGGTAAGCAGCTCGTCAGCAGCCGGTAAGAGGTGGCAAACGGCCGGTAAGAGATGGTAAACAGTCTGTCAGCAGCCGGGAAACAGCTGATAAGCAGCGGGTAAACAGCTGGTAAAAAGCCAGATGAGGCTGGTAAGCAGCCGGCAAACAGCCTGTAAGCAGCCGGTAAACCGCCCTTCAACAGCCTGTAAGCAGCCGGTAAACCGCCCTTCAACAGCCGGTAAACAGCCCATCAGCAGCTAGTAAACAGCCGGTTACAGCTGGTAAACAGCCTGTAATCAGCCCTTAAACAGCTGGTAAGCAGCCAGTTACAGCTGGTAAACAGCCTGTAATCAGCCCTTAAACAGCTGGTAAACAGCCGGTTACAGCTGTTAAACAGCTGGTAAACAGCCGGTTGCAGCCTGTAAACATCCCGGAAGCAGCCCGTAAACAGCCGTCAAACCGCCCGTCAGCAGCCTGCGGAGGCCTCCGCCGCCCACAGGCAGCGATGCTTCCTCCTTTCGCTCCCCGACATCGGGGCTCTCTCACCGGCAGCGATGTACGTCCTGCTCACGCCGGTCTTCGCCTCCACTTTGGCCAGTACATCCGTCACGACGTTCTTTTCGTGGAGGAACTTCTCAAATCTTTCCTTGAGCCCCAGCGCCATGGCCTCAGCTTCTTCCTCAACGATGCGGATGAAATACGACACAGCTCCGATTCCGCCACACCCATCCAGCCTCAGCCCACGGAGCCGGCGCGGGGACACGCCTGTGGGCGGCCGCTTCCTCCGGAAGTGCCAGCGGGGCGAAGGCTGCGCGGTGAGGCTGCGGGGCGAGGCGGGTCCCGGCTGGAGGAGGCTGCGGGGCGAGGCGGGTCCCGGCTGGAGGAGGCTGCGGGGCGAGGCGGAGGCTGCATTGTCCTGCGGTGGGCTCTGCTCTCCCAGCTGGATGTGTCGCAGTCAGGAAGCACAGCTTCGCCTGGAGGCGGTCTGCCTTCGCCCGGCTCCTGGCGGCGGGCCTCCGGCCTACGGGAGCCGGCCTGTGCAGCCACTCGGCGCCGGGCTGAGAGGCAGGAGCTCGGACTCTAACCGCCCCTGCCCGGTGTCTCTGTCCCATAGTGTCTCTGTCCCATAGTGTCCATCTCCCATAGTTACCCTGTTCCATAGTGTCTCTGCCCCATAGTGTCTCTGTCCCATAGTGTCTCTGTCCCATAGTGTCTCTGTCCCATAGTGTC